TCTTTTTGTGAACAGCATATGTACGATTTCGAAGTAAGCTATCCCCCTTTCCTTAACGAGTTTTAAAATGAACGAGTTATCGAAGATCATCAAACATACAGCTGTTGACCTAGTGATTCGTATAACAAAGTCGGAATTTTTTTTTACCTTCAAAGGAGCTTGGAGGAGATGTAGGAGCTGATTCTTGAATATTCTTTCATCTTAGTTTTCCTTTGCATTCTATCATCTTATGGGAGTGCGGCTTTGAACCATGAATCATGCATAGTCGGATGTTGGACTGAAGCGAGAATGGCTAACGTGCTTTAGACCTAGAGAGCCTCAAGTTCCGTGGTTGTTTAGTGATGATAACCCGCGAACGAAAGGCGCATAATCTTCTCCAGCTTCTCTCTTATAATGTCAAGGGTTTTGAAACCAAGTTTTGCACAAATTAAAACTTTCGTCTTGCCGAGAGGAGGCCAGTGTTGTTGAGTAATGCGCTTCTAGCCATAATTACCGGCCTAACCATCTAGCCCACCTTCGGATATTGCATTATTTATTCCCATAGTCTGATTGTCTCGATGAGCACTAAATATAGAAGTGTAGGTTTGTTCTGTACAACTGCATACCGGTGGAAAAAAGGTTGCATTATTACTGTTGTAGCAAAAATGAGTTCTTTTCCAAAGTCCAAAGACCTGATTACGGGATGTTTCAAAGGCTGATAAAGCAAATTTATTTTAGGTGAATAAAATCAAAGCTGTTCCGGTGTATGGTAGTCGGTTTGTTGATCGCCTAAAAATTGCATTATACATGTTGTTTTGCGCCTTCTCAAGGAACTTTTTTGGAATGTTTTAGGAATTATCAAAATGTTCTCGTTAGGAGGGCTATTCGTACTGTGGCTAATCGACGTCGTTTTGATTGCTCTGCAGCTTCTTCAACCTGCAGACGGCTCACAGTACATCATGAACTATTACGGACCTCGCGTCTCCGCCCTCAGGTATATCTTTCTTTAAAGGAAACCAACTCCACTGATTTCTTCTATATTCAGGTTTGATGCAGCTACGAACTTTTCTGTGTACACATGTATCGATTGTTTATAAGAATTATGTCTTTAAGAAGCATTAATAATAAACTATTTTTATAAAGTGTTTTATTGCTTTCAAGTCGTTTTTACCGACTCTGAATTACTAGCTACATGTCATTTTGATATCAGTTCTACATTTGGAGGAAAAGAACACACATAAGCGCCTTCACGCAATTTTAAATTTTTTTCTTTTTTGAAGGTTGCCAGATATATCTCCTCTTTTAATTGAGTCGTCTTTGATCAAGATTTGGCAGAAAGATGGCAACGGATCAACAAATGCAAATGGTAGCGGAGCTAGAAATGGAAATGATGTCTGATATGTACCGGCGAATGACTACAGCCTGTCAGGAAAAGTGCATAGCTAATACATTCAAGGAAGGAGAGCTAACTAAGGTATTATATCTGTTCTTTCAAGATACCTGGGAATCTTACTTACTCATCTACTTTTAGGGTGAAGCTGTGTGTTTGGACCGTTGTGTTGCCAAATATCTTGATGTACACGAAAAGTTGGGAAAACGGTTAACAACTATATCTCAATCTGATGAGGCTGCTCTCCAGAAGATGAGCCAATCGGACCAATAGAGGCTACTTACTTGAAGGTGAAATTGCTTTATATATTCTGCACCTTCACTCGTGTCAATAACGAGTTATACATCTTTTTGTTGATTCGTTATTAGAAAGCTAAACGTCACTAGCTTTCGCTGATATAGGTTTTGATAGAGTTTTAAGTTTTAGGTTATATGTACTTGCTCTATTTTGTTATTTCCATTGTTCTCATTGTTACGCAAAGCGGTGAATTTGCCGTTTAGACCCTCACGTTTTTGTTGTTGATAAATTTTCTTTTTTTCTGAAGTTCGAAAAACATTTCTGCATTTATTACACCTTTTGTTGTTTGCTTTGCTAGATTTATGTATCACGGCAAATAAGGTTTCTACTAGTCTCTGTACATAGGTATGAACATGCTGGTTTTTAGCGGTTTTACTATTGTGATATTCAAGCAGATGTTCACCACACATAGTATCTCAAAACGAATTTGAAATCTACGCCTACTGATTGATATAGAAAACTATAGAAAATATCAGTAATCCACGCGTTTCTACTGTCCAGCTGCGCAATTACCCCGAATTTGTCTGAGATTCAGTGGTATACCTGTCTGCCAGGTTAGAGTAGCTTGCATTATACCAATTCACATATTACATTATTTTGGCTTGATCGCACTCAGCACTCATAGTTATGGACAAATATGAATTACATTAAAACTTTGTGGTCAAGAAAAGTTTGAAAAGGCGATCTTGAGTACGTTATTGTACGAGGAAAGGGTCAAAAGTGGTGATTTAGAGAATTGGAACTGCTGTGAGTGAACTGAATTACAATTTGATTGAATTAAAACACTTTATTTTTGTTATCTTTCAAATCATGAACATCCTCACGTTTTATAATCTTATGCAATTGTATGAATTAATACAAGCAGTAAATTCCTCCATTTTTGTTCCAAAATAATGTTTATATTTTTTTTTCTGAGTAAAGGTCATAGATCTTGCAGAAAAGGCCTTTTCAGCGATGGTCCGTAACAATTATCTTGATCATGATTTTACCCATTTGCCAAATGTCATAAGTATTCAATATGTGTAATAAATTAAATATGAAAAGTCTTAAGACTTGGAAGCGACTTATCTGCTAATTTCAAAAAATCAGCACTTGTGGAATCTAAAACAACATTTGAATGTTCTGGCAAAAGATTGGAAAAGGATGCACAGAGTTTGAAATAGTCAAACATCTTGATCTCAAATGAT